GTATTGATGATGGCAGCAAGATCGGTACTTTTGTAGAGATACAAAGAGGGGCCACGATCGGAAAAAATTGTAAAATTTCTTCTCACACTTTTATTTGTGAAGGCGTCCATATCGATGATAATTGCTTCATCGGGCACAGTGTTGTTTTTATCAATGACAAGCTGCCGCGCGCCACGAATCCTGATGGCTCTATACAAACAGATGCCGACTGGAAGATGGAGCAGACCTTTATTAAAAAAGGAGTGTCTATAGGTAGTAACGCAACCATTATGTGTGGCATTACCATTGGGGAAGGAGCCGTGGTGGGCGCAGGTAGTGTTGTTACCAAAGATGTAGCACCCGGAATGATAGTAGCCGGTAACCCGGCCAGAGTAATTAAAAAAGCATAGTTTCAATACGATGAACACCGTAGCCGTAAATATTCCTTGCCTGGATCTGAAAAGGCAGCAGCAGTCTGTAAAAGCAGAGGTATTTGAGCTGTTTGAAAAAGTATATGAACAGACTGCTTTTGCAGGTGGCCCTTTTGTAGCCGGTTTTGAAAAAGCATTTGCCGCTTATTGTGGTACAGCGTATGCGGTAGGGGTATCTAATGGTACCATTGCCTTGCACCTGGCCATGCTGGCACTCAATATTGGCCCGGGAGACGAAGTGATTGTACCGGCCAATACCTTTATTGCAACTGCCTGGGGCGTAAGTCATGCCGGTGCCACTCCTGTTTTTGTAGATTGTAAAGCAGATACCTGGGAGATTGATGCTGAGGCCATAGAAAAAGCCATTACACCGAAGACAAAAGCGGTGATCGGGGTACACCTGTACGGACAGCCATTTGACGTGGATGCCGTTCATGATATCTGCAACCGTCACCAGCTGCACCTGATAGAAGATGCCGCACAGGCGCAGGGCAGCACTTATAAAGGAAAGAAATGCGGATCATTGGCCGCACTGGCCACTTTCAGCTTTTACCCTGGTAAAAACCTGGGTGCCTGTGGGGAAGCCGGTGGACTGACTGTTAATGACCAGGCTATTTATGACCGTTTGTGCCTGCTGCGCAACCACGGCATGAAAGTGCGTTACTACCACGATGAAGTGGGGTATAACTACC